AGAAAACTAATATAACTGTTCTAGATAGAAGAGTGGTTTAGTTATTAACATCATTACGCCTATAAACACTAAATAACTGACGCGGTTGAAGAACGTAAACCGAAGCGACAGCCGAGGTTTATGACCAACCAAGTCTGTTATTTGTGATATCGACTGTGTGTAATTCAATACTTCTCGTAATACCATCTTATTACAATAAAAAATTATATAAAAAGAAACACCTTTGCTTTTAATACGTAGGAAGCTTCTTCACTTGTTTAATACGTAGGAAGCCATCTTACTTTTAAAATCGATACGATTGTTGCTTCAGACACGAAAGTTAGAAGGCCAAGAGTTTATCGTAAGAATCTATTAGAATTTCTTTACTAAAAGAAAATGGCTATTTAAAAACATTGCCATTTTGTTATATTTAGGGCATGTCGACGAGACGAACTTGAATCATTGACTATTGACGATAAAGAAATCACGAGCAACGGAGTACTAGTTACATTGAATCGGTATCGAAATGAATTAAAATTTCTAAACAATTCTTCAGCACCGCATCAACATCAAGTGATTCAAGCACGTCGATGTCAGCACCTACAACCTCTATAAAGATGTAGCTTAAATGTAAATGTAGCTTAATATGTAGTATTAATATGTAGCTTTACTACGCTCATGTTTTGATGAACTCTCTTTTCGCTTGTAGTGGTAGAGTACAGGAAAGGTGATTTACTATTTTGTTAGAAATGAAAAAAATCAAATCTGCGGTTCATTTACCGTTGCATATAAGTTTTCTATATCTCGGGAACAAAAATGTCTAGTTTTTCAAATGTTGATAATCTCGCGTTTTTTAAATTTTATTTCTATTTATTTATCTTTAACTTTTACTTATCTTTCAACTATTTGTAGTTAAAATTATGGGAAGGAATACTGGAACTCAAGAAAACGTGCGCAGATGATCTTCTACCCAAACGAGAAATTAGAAGTTTTAAATAAAAATACTATAATCGAACAGTTAAAAATTTCTATTGAAGGTGTTATTTGCGTTGTGTGTGTATGTTACTTATGTTGTTTGTCATATCTGAAATTAATACCTAGTTTGAAGATCACTTGGCTACTTAACGGCCGGCGGCCATTAAGATTACCTATTCGTTCCTCAGTAGGGTTGCGTTATGCAGATATATTAACGGGCAGTATTACGAAAAAATTTATTGTGTTACAATAATGCATTGATAGGCAAAGTAGATTTTTAACGAAGATAATCTTTTAGTTGTCTGCAAATAGCTTGAAATAAAAATAATTATTATCCTGGATGTATTGTTGACAATGAAAGTGATAGAGTTATAAACAACGAAATGTGTTTCGATACGAAGTAAAACGAATCAACTTGTGGCATTGGAGAATAGGTCACGCCAATTATGAATGTTTCCAGAAAATTATAAAGAAGAACTGATTAAGGGGCTCCGAAAATCGACTGTGAACGAAATCAGTGAAAAAGCTGCCTAGAGGGAAACTTCTCGAGGGTCACATTCAGAGTTGTGGAAAATGAAAGGAGCAATCACATATTAGAAAGGTGACATGTACACATGTGTGGCCCCATGCCAGTGACTTCAATAGGTGGAAATAAGTACATATTGCTTACTGTGCACTCATATATTCATAGATTTTCTGTAAAACATAAATCCGATCGTGCTGGTATACCAACAAATTGTATACAAAAAAGAGAAAACGAAACAAGAGAAATTGTGAATTAAGTAAGAAAGGATAATGGCAGAAAATTCATTGATACAACTTTACTGAATGTCTACGGACATAGGAATTGAATGTGTCGCGTATAACCCTCATAGCAATAAAACAGCGGAGAGAGGTAAGAAGAGTTTTAAATACAAGAACATCAATAGAGGTAAATAAATCTAGAGCGTCTGCGGTTCTCGACACCACTCCACAAAGACACTCCAACTAATTAACAGTAAGTACTTTTTCCCATGCATTAGAGCTGAAAAGATATTCATTTGGTAGAAGACAATTTCGAATTAAAAAAGATTCGAAAAATGCTTATTTTAGGTCACAATCATCGTTCAAAAAGTTTTACCTAATTTCACTTTATTCCACTAAATATAAATTCCAATCAATCTTTCGTACATTGCCTGGATGTTTGAAATAAAATTTTCAAAACTACTCATCTGGTCTCTCACTAGCCAGAGACACTTCTCATCGGCATTCTGATTCCTGTTTATCACGTCTGTTATTTCTCGTAACGTACCATATATCTCAGCCACCTCGTGTTGGCAAATATGAACTTCAACAAGCCATGAGTGTGATGTATGGGTCGCAACATTTCCTACACCAGGCTATATCCACCCATTTTCGATAACAAAAACATTAACCGCTAATTCTGCAGCAAATTCTCACGCTCACTCAGCCATCTCAGTGCACATACAAGCGGTATGTGCATTGCAGGTTGCATAAGGACTTGTTAGTAAATATTTCTCCCTTCTCACCCACCATTCTAGAGATGTCTTACCTCTACGGTACTATTTTCCCCATTGAAATTTCCCAATAATAATGTATACTATCCTTTATAAAATAGAATTTAATCATTTCTCTACATGACTTAAAATTAAAGAGCTGTAGAGGAAAACAGACAAACGTTAGAAAAAAAAATACCGGTTAGGTGGAACTCCCGGATTAGTACAGAGTCTAGGACGTCGAAAACTTGGGGTTCTAAATAGTGCCTGAACACAACATACTTAAAAAAAAGGTTTTATGACCTTTTTCACGCAAACCCCCTTTCTAGTACCTACCGACTGGACCATTAAGGCACTTTTTAATATCTTATTCAGTTATGAATTAAATGCTTCGGGGCAGAGATGAACTAGTGAACCGCAGGGAAAATAGATTCGGGTGACCAGCGAGCATCCAAAAAATAATATCTTTAAATTCCCATGCAAATAGTTTTATAATAATTCTGAAGCAGCATTAACCTGTCAAAATTCCTGTTAATATTCTAATACTTAAAAATGTAAATCCAGTGGCTGTAGTCGATAGCCTAACGACTAGTTATACTCTTTGAGCTAGCCCGAGAGAGACTACTAACGTACTCGTCCGCAGGAATAGGAGCGAGTTACGTCACAGGCGCTGGCGTCCAGCCCTGGCCCCGACCCGCCGTCTTTGCGATGGGAAGCCGGGAACAGAAGCCCCGCTCAGAAGAGGCACTGCTCTTTCCCGCTGACTGGGCTTTATAATAGGTGCCGCGGGGTGTGATGTAACACGTTGCGAGGGCCCATTGCAAGCCACGAATCCCAATAGCAATATTAATCGACATTCATAGAAAGGCTGTATAAGTAATTCAGCAAATACAACAACTTCTATGATAAGTTAACTAATGATAGAACGTTTATCATCACATGTTTTGAACATAACTACAAAGAAAATCAGGAACGCTCAATGAAATATTCTTTCATTAATATAACATTATTTTGAAACTTGCGTCGCGCGCCCGGCTAGCTCAGTCGGTAGAGCATGAGACTCTTAATCTCAGGGTCGTGGGTTCGAGCCCCACGCTGGGCGAGTTTTTTTTTATACATCAAACACGAAATACACTTGACATTAGAAGTTTACTAATACAATACCTACGAGACAAAATGGAATCGAAGTCGTGGTGAAAAACAAAATTCTTGAAAGCCTCATTATTACATTACAGAGAGTATATGGGTAGGCATAAACATAACTTACATTGCAGTTGTAAACAATCACATAAAACAAAGTGGCAAACAGTCTTCTCAACAATTAGATTGAAAAGTTTGGATCTTCCAATATTCATTTTGCTTTATAGCAGCAAACAAGATCTCAAAAATGGAAAAGGTTTTTGTTATAACCATAATTTAGAAGTTTCATATAGACAATAATATTAATTTTCTGATAAGAAAATATACTTGCAAAACATCACAAACAATTAAAAATATCTTTATGTAATTAATGCAATTCATTCAGAATCAATCTGTGGTTAAATTTCAAGATGGAATTTGGATAAGATCTAAAAAACATTGTTCCTCACATAATTATTCTGAATTTCAACATTTTTCAATGCACCACTTAACTTTGAAAAAGTTACAGTTACAGTTATCACAATCCAGCTGCTAATCACTAATTCTGGAACAAAATTTTATAACGTGGAGAATGCAACTTTTCTGATTTGGTCCATATTTCCTTCTTTACTTTGTTGCTATTTTTCTATTTATGGCTTGACAGTCCGCTATTGGCCTTGGCCGACAAGCAGTGACCCAGACTCTCCGCCTTGGGATAAGAGGTTTGTGTGGTTCAAACAAAACACATACCATCACCATGTATTGTGGTCTTCATAATCTTAGGGTGGGCTTTCTCATCATCCCATAGCAATAGATACTGGATTATTTGGAAGGAAAGTGTAGTTGTTATTTTACCCCAGCCGGGAATCGAACCTGTGGTTGCACCGCGGAAAGTGAGCACACTAACCAATGAGCCACCGAGAGATTAATTAAGCTTATTAATTATACTTTTGTGTTTCTATAAACATAAATAATATTCACTTAAACAATCTTCTAATTATATTACACGTTTATATAGAATATAGATATCAATATGTTTAGAAATAAAAGTAATGAATGAACAATGACAAAATTATTTTATTGTATATGACTTCACCGAGGTTCCTTTTCGAAAAATATCATCTACAACAGATTTACTGCAAATTCTTCAAAATTTTGAAGACCCAAAAAAAATTATTCTGATAAAAAACTCTAATACCATGTCTTTAAGAAGGCTGAGAGGAGCAGAAATCTTGAAACTTAAAAACTTTTACCCAGCATTGTTTGATTAGAGTTGCCATAAATGCTGGAAGTAAAAACAGGAGTAATCAAGTCAATCATTACCACGAAAACGTGTATTACCCTCAGCATTTCAGAAACATTATCTTTGAGTTGGGTGATGTAATTGGAAAGATATGTAGACACACTGTTCATAATTCTGAATAACTTATGTATTTCATGGTTTCCATAAAATTCTAGCCATTTGTCCAAATCAGGTGAATCTGACTTCCTGTTTTCCTCCAAAAATTTTGAACACAATTTTTTTCGAATGGTCAATACTGATCACCTGTCACCAGACTGCATTGCACTCCACTCCATGTATATTCCCTATTCTCTTGCTATTTCATACAATTTCTTTCTTTCAATCAGCTACTCAACAATTTAAAAAAATCAGAATATTAGACTTCCTGGCTTAATCTTCTGGACATGGAGAAAAAGAGTAAAAAAGGCATTCCCAATTAATTAGAACATAAGGCAACCATGTGTTTGCTTGTGATAATTATTGAAAATTCCACACCTCGCAATTTATAGAAAAATTTATAATAAACAAGATTTTTTCTGACAAAATTAATTAAAGTTTTTTTCAGATATCAATTGACTTTCCTTTTTAATAAATTGTTCAAAATATTATACATTCAATTACTGTCTTAACATACCATACAAAAAAAATCCACAGGAATGTCATATTGGTCTCAAAACTGACCAATTTTTATACTGGAGCAAAGTACAAAACATTCAGACATATAAAAGCTTATGATGGGCAAGCAGGCATTCAATAGGCATAAAACAGATTATGATAAATTTGAAAATATAAAAATGTGTCAACAAATAAGTGAAATTCACACTATTCATCCCTTTAACTATTAAAAATTGAAAAAAGGAACTGATTTTATGGTAAACAGCACTACTTTTAAATACTTATTTTATCTTATTCACAGATTAATAGACCAAATCTTTTCTCTCTTGTATATGACGACAGTTAACTATTAACATGGTAACTACAAAATGATTTTCAGCTTAAGTTTAGCAGAAATTGGTGAAACATTTAATATGCAACTATTAGTGGATATCCAGGTATTGTCCAACATCTGTTAACTTTCAATTTTTATAGCATTACTTAGTCAAGAAACATGACCATTTAACATGCACACTGTACAACATTTGTCCCAAAACACAACTTGAAAAGCCACAAAATTTCTTTCTTGGGCAATTATTTAACTAAAAAAACATTCCTATATACACTTATGTGACCGTGGTAAATAGCAGGACCTGATAGATAAGTTACACACAGCCTGGTGAAATTTCAAATATCAGGGCCCATTGCACTTTAAAATACAAATAATTTATATGCACATGGTTCAATTGAAGGTATGAGTTCACCAACATACAATCATCACAGTTGTCAAGTGCTACTCTAGCACCATTATTATACATACAACACTACCAGTGCTGTATATCCCCATCTCATACTGTTGTTCGACTCGAATCTCCTGCTAAACGATCTACAATCTGAAAAAATCAGCCAAAAGTGAAAATACTTCATGTCTTTGCAAGCCAATTTCACATTATTCTTCCAATAAACAAAATAAGAATTGAAATGAGACACACATACCCCTCGAATACCAGGCAGGTTTAACAACGTTCCAAGAACTGGCACTCGTCTTAAAAAATTTATTGCCACAGGAAAGAAGCCACTAAAACAAGAAATTAATTTACAAGTAAAAGGAAAGGTATAACAAAGGACATTTTTGATAATTTACTATTTGTCTGTTTTCCTTGAATCCTCATTTAATTAATTATATTTTCTTTTGTCAATTTTCAGGATATATTTTCATTTGTAAATAATATACATTCTTAATATATATACTAACCTGAACAACAAAACAAAACCATAAGTTTCAAGCAACATGCCTATTAAAGGCCATCCTAATAATACAAGAAATATTCCTCCGAAGAATCCAGCAGAACCTCTCAATTTGTGTGTTTGGAAAAAGAAGCGGAAGGTTCTTTCCAAACCAATTACACATGCCAACCCACATATAAATAATATCTACAAAATTTAAAACACAACTGTTATTCCAATAACAAATAGACAAAAAAGAAATTTAAACAATTTGTCAAACTTACATTTCCGAGAGCCAAAAGTGCTTTGTCCAATAACAATAATACTCCTAAGAAGAGAAAAAATACGCCAAAACCTGCGAGACCGACCCCAATTTCTGAAATAGAAGACAGTAGAAATTTGTACACACACATATGCGTGTTGACATTTATAAAAAATCTATGCTATTAAACTTCGTGAATATTACTCACTTTGAACATCAGTAATTTCAAACATTTTGTGCTAAAATAATAAGAAGTTTATTTATACAGAACAGATGTGCGTTACACGTCTCCTAACCTAACTCAGGTCCACGTCATAACACGCAACAAACTTTTCTATCACTCATAGTGTTATAAATTAGATGTCATAATAAATTATCAATGAACAAAACTAATTTGACAATAGAAATGCAATGTAGCTTCGTTTCTATCAATAAGAAATTTACTAACTTATTTTCATACCATCAAGCAAAGGTAAACTACCTCCAAAGCATAATTATACATTATAAGTAGCGCGCCATAACTGTGCCTGTTTGAATCGTTCCTTGGCGCAAAAAGTGTATTTTATTAATGTATTATTGTTTAAGCAGACCATATTTTTTATCACACTTCTTGATGAACCCAATGTTTCTGGTAGTGTGTCTACAAGGAGAATTTCGCTACAACAGGATTAGAAAAATCATGGAACGGAAAGGCTTTCAGAAGAAAGATTGAATAACGCATAGCGTGTCGGAGAAGAATCACACAGAATTTCTTTGACGGGTGTGTTATGGCCAGGGTCTCTGAGGCGAAGGCTGGGCGACGAAGGAGAAGAGAGGTTAAAGGTCTTTCGCTAATCTTTTCCAGTTGTGGAGCCCGGTTTTCATAGTCATCTCTCACGTTTGTGATCTTAAAAGAGATTTGTTTATTTAACTTTTAATCATGGCACGTGTTCTTGTTGGAGTTAAGCGAGTAATTGATTATGCAGTAAAGGTAATGTAATTGAGATATACAATTTTATTACCTAATTGATGCAATATTGTAGGTATGAGTTATATAGAATTCGAAATTAACATAAAGTAATTATTAACAATCCCTCCCATAATAAGAATAATTTTGGAGATGTTAGCAATATTACATAATGAGGTTGGAGTATTTTTTTATAATTCCAATTTATATTAATTCCAAATTCGGAATTAATATAAAGTAATTATTAACAATCCCTCCCATAATAAGAATAATTTTGGAGATGTTAACAATATTACATAATGAGGCTGGAGCATTTTTTTACAATTAATTATACATTTTAGATACGTGTAAAGCCTGACAAGACAGGTGTTGTGACTGATGGGGTTAAACATTCGATGAACCCTTTTGATGAAATTGCTGTTGAAGAAGCTGTAAGAATGAAAGAAAAGAAAATTGCTAGTGAAATTATTGCAGTGTCGTGTGGACCGCAGCAAGCTCAGGTGTGTATTATGTTATTTGGTGATTATAATTTCATTAATTCAAAAGCTCCATTTATGTTAACTTTTGGATTCTGTACAGGAGACTCTTCGTACTGCCCTGGCTATGGGGGTGGATAGAGGTATCCATGTTGAAGTGTCGGGAAAGGATTATGAAACACTACAACCAATTCATGTTTCTAAGATTCTGGCTAAACTAGCCCAAGATGAAAAAGCTGATCTTGTTATAGTTGGTAAACAGGTAATGCATTGAAACTTTATCTTAATTAAAATTATTATTTGTAGCTTGTTTAATAGAATTTTCTTTTTCAAGGCTATTGATGATGACTCTAATCAAACTGCTCAGATGACAGCAGCTGTTTTGGATTGGCCTCAAGGTACTTTTGCTTCAAAGGTAAATTCATTTTATGATTATTATGTTTAACTTTGTTTCTGAACTTTAATGATGACAAGGAATCTAAAGTTCACCAACTTCATTTCTGGTATTTTTTTCAGATTGAGAAAGGAGACGGAAATTTGACAATTGTAAGAGAAATTGACGGAGGATTGGAAACAGTGAAAGTAAAGCTTCCTGCTGTTGTCAGTGCTGATCTCAGATTGAATGAGCCTCGGTATGCTACGCTGCCAAATATAATGGTAGGTTTCAATTGCGTAGCAAAGCCAAGATCTCTTATCTATGTTTGCAAACCACATATAATTTCAGGTGTTACCCATTACCCTTTTTCTAATTTTCTTCATATTTATCATCAATCCCCCCCAGTAAAGATGGGAAATGAGTGTCTGGAAATATACAAGAGGTACATGAATGAATTGAACTTTTAACTGATCATATTATTTCAGAAAGCCAAGAAAAAGCCTATTAAAAAAGTTACTCCCAAGGACTTGGGAGTAGATACAGCTGCTCGCATTGAAGTTGTCAGTGTTGAAGATCCTCCAGTACGGCAGGCTGGTTCAGTTTTAGCTGATGTGGATGAGCTTATTGGAAAACTGAAGGAAGGAGGACATGTGTGAAAGGGTGAGATATCATTAGTCATGTGACAATGAGAAAGAATGGATGAATCATTGGGCAGTATCATTTGAAAACATTATTAAAAAGAATTAAAAATTAATTCATTCCAATTACTTTCATCTTAACTTATGAAAGTACTTGAGATATTTTATGAAATTACTTTTATGATATTATGATTTTGTAGTGGAGAAAATTACATTAATTGCAGTGATAGAATGGTAAACATTACTACAAGATTTCATATTCCATAAAAGAATCATTGTTCAGAGAAGAATATGGGAAATATTTCTTTATAACTGTTCCTTGGTAATATTGATGATTATATTCATTGGTTTGTGATCTTTGATTAATCATGTTGTATTTTTGCAGATAATAAAAACATGCTCCTGATGGGCCAGAATTCCTGAAACACATTGCTAGATCACCTGAATTACTAAGCTTCTAGATTACAAATTTTATACTTCCCAGAAAATGATTTCTTAATCAAAGCAAGCTTTGTTATACTTTGTACAGATTTGAGAATTATATTTTCTTTACGTTAAAAGCATTTTTCTTTCTGAGAGATCCATTTAACTTTTACACATTTTAATGTATTCTAATTGTGTACTAATTATGTTTCATTTATTTGTGTTGAATCAATACTATAGTGCAAGAAATTTTAAATTTTGAAATAATTCCTGGAACTGCTATGTTTTCCGTAAAACACGCTGTATTATGCTTTATTAAAAAAAATTAACAAAGTACAAGTTGCACAAAAACTCAGAGATGGATTTGATGTGTAGGGGTGCAGAAGTGATTAACAGGAAAAATTACAAAGAGTTCACACAGATCTGTGAAAACTCTCAATGCTAAATGTTGCCAAGCCCTTGGCATCAATTCGTTGACAATACAATAGGTCCTTATGTTTAAATGTGATAGAGCTCCCATTTCCATTTTATTTTAAGTGACCTTTTATAAATTCTGAGAAATCTGTTTATTAAGTCAATGTTAGTGTAAAGTCTTGGTGCTTTGTTTCATTATTAAAACCATGGCATTTCAATTGTTCATTAAAACTATGAAAATATATTGCACTTAAATATAGCCTAAAATAACATGTTCCTCTCAGAATTTATAAAATGCCATTTATGCCATTCTGGTTTTCATTCAATTGCTCAATGACTTGTTGGATGTTCCAATTGGTCCTACAATAAGAATTGTGTATAAACTTCATCTGAGCCCAGAGAAAACAAGAGGCCAAAGGGAAATACATCCAATAAAAGAACATTACTTCAAATAAACCTACAGTACCTCAATCCTCAATATGTAAACAGAATTTGTTTCTCCTTGCAACAGAAATAACTTAGTGGTTAATTTGAATTGAAAGTAAATAAATTTTTATGTTTTGAATGAAAAACTATGAAGTTTGAGCCTGGGGCAAGTTGCGTCACTGCATCTGAGAAGAATAATGCATGGTAACCTGTTTAGAATGTGCTGTATTGGAAAAGAGTGCATGCAGCATGTGAATAAAGTATAAAAAAAATCCACAATGCATTATATAAGATCTCAGAAGATGCTTAGAAAATCTAATCCACAGTTATAATGATGTAAATTTAATCTTGTGGCAACTAATGAAATATCCTGCTATTGAATTTTCAAGTGGGCAAATTTCCAGGCTTTTCTATGAACTTCCTCATTTTCTGCCTTGAACCACCTGATATCTATATTCTTCAAACTACTTTTCAAAGCATGCAGCTATTGAAAGAAATCTATGCAGCCTCTGCTCATGTGAGAAGTGCCCATGACTGCATTAGATATCTGGGAACTCACGAAAATCTACTAGTCATGCTACAGATTGGCACAGACCTTCTTGTAGTTATCTTTTTTCTTTGATGTAGATTGGCATTACGGTCTTCCCCCATCATCCTCCCAGCTGCCTTCTATCGGTGCCCAAAGTAAATTTTTTAAAATATTTTGGTTTCCTAATGGTAGAAGTGAAAGAGTACATTAAGAATGTTAAAGAAGAGTAAAACCTTGTCCTAAACTGCAATTTTCATTCAAAATTTTGGAGCTGTTTTTAACAAAATGGTGTTTAACGTCACTATAAATGCAAAATTTGAAGCTCTATTACACAGATAATTTTTGAGTTTTCGAAAAATTTCATTTAAAGAAATTTGAAGTTCTTTATCTGACAAATACAATAGTTATTACAAATTACTCAAAATGAGCACAATAGCAGCGTGAGAGGTATTTAAAAAAAAATTACCTTTGTGTAATTTTTGAAAAAACAGAAGAAGAAAGCATAATGAGCTTAGTCATTTTTTACAGTGCAATTATCTGTTGGCAAAAATTAAGAAAAAATTTGGAGCCATTTTTGAGGAAAATAGTGAGTGAGTGTTTCTGAAAACACAAAATTTTAAGTTAATTTTTACAGAAAACTGACATTATTTAAAGCACATATACTCATGAATGCAATACTGTGAACGAATTGCTGCTAATCTAAATATTAACAACGTGAGAGACATTAAAAAAAAAATTACATTTTTGAAAAAATAAACAAAATAGAAATAGCACATTTCAGTCATCATGAGTGCATTTAACACTTATCACTACATATAGTTTAAAGAAAAAATTGGCAGCTGTTTAAAAAAAATCTTGTTGCTGCTATTTTAAAAAAATGCACATATTGCTTGCAAAATTGAACTAAAACTACTTAAAATTTTCAAAAAATTGTGCTTAACTTTAATAAAAGAACTAAATAAGAAGAACAAATTTTATTTAAAGGAAAAATCTCTATTTTTAATTTTGATGTAGGAAGGCACCGAAAATAATTTAAACTTTTCCAATATTATCGAAAATTGAGAGTTAACTGTAACTGTATAAACGTACTTTACTTTCTTAAAAGAAATTTAAGAAAATAAATTTAGATTTGTTTTTGACAAAATTTTGAAGATATTCCATGGGCATCATGTTAAGTATTCCCAAATTTTAAAAAATGTTTTTCAGAATCACGGTGCCTCAAGGGGAGCCAGATGGAATGAGAGATATCCATTTTGGAAGAAATTCTGCACATGGTTTAGTCTCTAGTCATGTTCACAGATGGATGGACATTTTGAAAAAAGAAAAACTCTTTGATTATATCAGAGGACCCCAAATGTGTATTTCTGTTGAAATCTCAAAATTGATTTTTAGCGGCATTACTTAACTTTCTCTGTATTACGTATATTACTCCATAGATATGTATACAAGAAAGTAAAAACAATGAAATGGTTTACATTTTGGCTGAAAACACAAGTATTTGATTATGTTCTTCCATCTGTTCTCGTACTGCACATATGCAGACTGCATTTGTATACTCACTGCTTACAACACAGCTGACCTCTTGCCACAACAAGTCCCTAAGTAAAAGGCTGTACACGATTAAATATTTGCTATACTTGTGTTATGGAACAACAACGTTTTTGATATTCTTGGTATGTAAAGAACTTTGTACTGTGCTTCCATTTATTCCAAACTATGAAACTGAATCATTTGTAAAGACTCTTTTTGATAAAATATTTAAATTATTTTATTTGTTATTTTTGAGCAGTGTGTGCTATGTTTTGGAAAACCATTTGTACGATTTTTTACAGCAGCATTTTTGCTACTGAAAACTACTTCTAGTTTATATCAATAAGTATACTTAAATGAATGCCTTCTGAGAGAAGACACTCATAACACTTTCATACTTTGCATGTTGACTTATCAAAGCCATCTAATTTTTAATAATGAAAAGTAATACAATAGGATGCAATTGTTTGCAAATTATAATAAAAACTGTGTGCCTGCTGATGCAAATCAATTTATTTGTACATGTATCAAGTTTATCAAAGATTTTTTTAATCATTTGCTATTGATTTATTGTGGGGGCATTAGAGTTGTGTAACACTTGTCGTTTAAAAGGCGTAAGGAATTTGGCCAGCCATTAATTTGACCCTAAAAATCCTCTGAAAATTAGACTCCTGCATTTACTTAAGAAATTTGATTAATGGAGCCTTGTGAATTAATGGTTAGGGTTCTCGCCTTATACTACTGGGTCTGGGGTTCAAAACCCTAGCCAATCCATGTATAATTTTTGGTGGACAAAACAAGCTGTTGACAGGTTTTCTCAGGACACTTCTGTTTCCCTTGCCTCTCATTACAACATATCTCCATCATCAACCATTAGATCATCAATCCTGAACTTCCAAGACTCAGTAGTTGAAGGACTTTAATCTCAAGAAATAAATGAGAAATATTTTTCACCAAATAGATTTATAGCTAGTACAATTGCCTTTAATATACGGTATCAGGTCATATTGAATTGGAAGCTCAAACTTTTGGCCATATTCATAACTGGGGTGTTTTCTGAATTAAAAAAATATTGAAAAGCTTAGATAACGTATTTTTAGGGGGCAGCAATAAAATGTGAATCACCAGCCTCTCCTCATAAAATAATAAACATTTTTGTATATTTTAAATAAAAACATATGTACGATATGATGATAGGAAAGCCTCTTGGTAAAAGTATTATAGCTGGAGAATTCAATGAAAAAATAAAAGTTTTAATTGGGAAAGGGTACTGCATAACAGCCAAAAAATGTAATGATAAAAATAGTATTCAGTTATAAATCGTAAATACAACATAGCAAAGTCTTATATAATTTTCTTATGTAAGTTAAATGTTTAGATATAAAAAGTAGTTTAAACAATCCATCAATTGAGATTCTATAATTTCACATTCTTGGAGGTGTGACCTTCTAAACAAATTTTATTTTCTTGGGCATAAGGATGTTTTTATATACAAGTCATAATTGAGGTTCCGAAGAACTTTTTCTTTTTTTTTTTCTTCATTTTGATGATTCGTAACAAAGTAAACGTAACCGTCACTTGTAGATCTTTTCTGCCTTCATAAGTAGATATTTATCCAAGTATTTTATCAAATTCAATCAGTTGATTGGTAAGTAATGATTATTCATTCACGTTTATGATTTGTTCAAATGAAAGGCTTGGTTATCATATGTTTTTACACATTTTCATTGATATATTTAATGCGCGCTACCTGGAGGGAATTTGATATATGCTATCTTAGTCCTATTAATTTGGGAATGGGAAAATACATAACAATATAATAGTAATGTGATGTAATTACAGTAATAACAGTAATGTGATATTCTAGGTCATTTCCCTTTCCACTTTGAATTTGGAATGAAATAATTTTTTTTTATTGCTCTATTATTGGTCTAAAGTTGACAGTAAAATAAAATGTGATTATGTGCTTTTTCTAGCCGATTCTAGATCCAAACACTTAAAATTTTACTAAATTGAATATTCTAACCTAGCTATTCATACATAATTATTGTCAAAAATGCCCATGTGTTCATAACTAAAACTGACACTTTATGATAATTGACTATATTGCTTGAATTAAAAATCATTGGTTGTATGAATTACAGAAGTTAAAAGGAATGAAATTGTACTATATTTCTATTTTCAGTTGTTAATTTTGCTTCACATTTTCCCTACTTTTCATTGATATTGATTTATATCAATTACATTGCATCTCATTTACATTACAAAAAAAGTGTGTTTGTATGATATTTTCTGAAGTCTTGTGTCATGGACTAATGTTAATATTGTTTTACTTAATATAATTGAAAAAAAAAATCAATGCTTATTGCTAGTATCTCATAAATTTTCATCATTTTTTTAAATGCACGATTCTGACAAAATTCTGAAGGGCATCTCTGTTTGGGTCATAATTATCACAAAAAATTTTATGTAATTCTACAAAATAATAAAATAATGAGGAACATCTTGAAAGTAAAAATGAAAGTCATGAGAGAATAAAGTG